ATACCCATGAACCGGGTGTTGAAATGACAATGATATATTACTATTGAACACATTAGCCTTACTTTTGACAAAATCAAACAATATTCGACGATCAAAATTTGGCGGAAGCAGTAAACCTAAGTTGTTAAACTTTGGTCTAACGTAGATGTTAATCCCATTACTTATCTGCCAAAAACCCCCAGTACATAAAATAACAAAACTCATTTTTTTTTAAAATCAAATGAAAAGAACTGATCTATCGACCAAATGGAGCGAAAAATATGAAAAAGAACACTTTGTATCAAAAAACTCTCTAAAATCCGTTCCAACCACTCATTCCGCGGAGACATTACTCTCTCCGCGGAGCTCCTCGTCACCGTCTCCGCGGAGGTACTTATGACCTCCAAACAACTCACTCCGCGGAGGTGTTATTGTATCCGCAGAGGGCCTACGCGGATCACTCTTTTACACATTAAAAAATCAGACTTTCGAGTGGTCCGCGGAGATGACGTCATTCCGCAGAGGTCCGCGGAGGGTCATCCGCGGAATGTATGTCTATAGCTGGAAAAATCTTGTTTTATGACTAAATTTAAAAATTCACCCCCATTTTTTTTGTCTATTTGTGGTATTTTCCCATAAGTTTTTCATATAACATCAATTTCAGCTAACAATGTACAAACAAACATAGACTTTATCAGTTTATGCAACAATTTTGTAATCACTTAATGAATTGATGAAGAAAAATGGAAGTATCTAGTATTTATTCAATTAACCCTAAATTAAGAAACTTGTTGGATTTTTTTTATCCGAAATAAAAATGATTCTTTTGTGTATATATCAAAAAGTAATCAAAAAGTCAAAAGGTTTCTTCGACAATGGAAGCATCTCGTCGTCCTCATGGCTGTAAGTGTTTTTTCGGAGCGAAGGAAATCCAGTTGACATGAAGTGGTGCGAACTCCATGGCTATGGCTTCACGACTGCTTTATCTGCCTATAAAAATGGCTTCCCTTCCTCTTCCCCAAACCATCTCAATCACCATCCTTTCAGTCTTCGAAGAAAGATAACACCACAAAAACTAGAAAGGAAAAACACACAGAGGTTTGAATATGGGGAAGGCGCTAATTCTGGTGGCTTTCCTACTCGTACTCGTCTCCATCGGAGCTACCTCGGTCCGAGCTGATGATCACAACAAGCCTGAAGACAATAAGAAGACTCCGGCACCGGTACCCGCCCCTAAAGACCAGAAACCAGCGGCAGCCCCGGTCCCTACGGAGGAGAAATCAAAGCCGGAACCGCCGAAGGAAGAGGAGAAACCAAAACCAGCACCGGCTCCCAAGGAGGAGAAACCAAAGCCTTCTCCTGTCGACGACGATACCACGAACTACGACGACGAGACACCAGACCCAAAAACAGGATGCGAACGGGCTAAGTGTAAATCGAACGGGGCTTGTAATAAGAAGACACTAACTTGTCCGGCCGAGTGCCCGGAGAGGAAGCCCAAAAAGAACAAGAAGAACAAAGGGTGCTTCATCAATTGTGGTAGCAAGTGTGAAGCTACTTGCAAATGTATGTACTCCACCTGTTCGACAAAATGCTTCTTTGAATTCCTAATCATCTACACTCTTTCTTTTTAACTAATTCGCAATTGAATGACAGGGAGGAGGCCACAATGTAACGGGTATGGCTCACTATGTTACGATCCAAGGTTCGTCGGTGGCGATGGAGTCATGTTCTACTTCCATGGCGCCAAAGGACGTGATTTCGCTCTCGTCTCCGACAGCAACCTCCAAATTAACGCCCATTTCATCGGAAACCGCCCGAACGGCCGGAAACGTGACTACACATGGGTCCAATCGATCTCCATCATGTTCGATTCCGACACCCTCGTCCTCTCAGCCAAGAAAGTACAACAATGGGACGACTCCGTCGACGTACTTCTCGTAAAATTCAACGGTCAACAAGTCAACATCCCCTTCACCGGAGACGCAGAATGGAAAATCAACACCGGAGTAAGACAAGTGGCGGTGGAAAGAACCGACGACACCAACACTGTTAGAGTTACAGTCGGCGGACTGGTTGAAATCGACATGAAAGC